TTATCTCACTGGTGGCCAACGAGTAATTCAGCATATGGTGAAAGCTGATCTGAGCTAGTTTTCTAATGAATTTCTTTTTGCATGTCAAAGGAAAGAAATATCTATCCCTCCTAACGAGTTGGAAGGGAAGTGATTAGTTGCAGACACTAAAACTGAACGGAATATTGCGCGCGTTGTTGTTGGTCTCGTGCATACACCAATATGGACATAAGAAAACTTCTTGCACTGATAAGGGAAGTTTTTGCGAACTGTTACTCCCAAAATGCATTCACGGAAGTCATATTTTTTACATGTGAAGTTTGGTATATCTTCTTGCTTGAGGTTGGAGATAGAAAACGGTTAGTCATAAATAAATATTATTTTTTCACATTTATGCAGTCTCTACAGGGGGCATTTTCAATGTCAAATTCGTTCAATTACCGCGCAGCAGCTGGGATTTTAATTTATTCGAAAACTTTTCCCTGTATCAGAAACGGGGATAAGTTAGCTATCTTACCACTGGTCGCCCGTGGTAAGGGTGTGCGGTGTATTAGGGGAAACTTGGAAATTCTATTTGGCAATCAGCTTGCTGGAATCCATGTTAAAGCTAAAGCTAATAGGCGAGATGAAAGTACACTATCTTTATATATTCTATGAGCCTTTTTAAAAAATAAAATACAGTTACGTTTTCCACTGTGAATGATGCACTGACAACTGATGCATCAGCAACCGTCATCAAAATCGCGAAATTGTAAATTTTATTGGCATGTGGCTAATAGAAGTAATGATATAAGTGGGTATTATATCAGATATGTTGCGTCTGATGTCGGGCAATATCATATTCAATCCCGTGAATGTGGAAAAACGAAGCATTGAGAGGAAAAAATGTGATGAAAATCAGAAAGTGGCACGAGTTTGGTCAATACCTGTAGCTTTCCAACTTTAGAATAATTGGTACCTAGTATCCCCACAATGTTGTCAATGCTTTAGCCGTCATGATCAATTGCTTAATAGGGTGTATCATAAAGTCCATCCATTCAGTTGCCGAGTGAGAATATAGGCTATATTGAATTGAGGTCCATTTGCCCACAAACCCATCATGTTATAATACCTTCACTGATCGCGTGCGGTTTCTCCAAGAAATACCTCACGCTTCGGTTATTGACATCGATTAGTCGGATAAGAACGCGAGTCGTGACTAAATGGATTCATAAGCCGATCACCGTGCTCAGGTGTAAGTGAGTTAGCCAACCTCCCCCCTCCTTAAATGAACTATGGTTTCGTCAGTCGGGACTATTTTCAATCTGGCCAAATCCAGTTGTCATTCCATGAAATGTGGTCTATCGCTCCACGAACAGACCTGATACCATTTGTTATGAAAATTCGATAGATGTTCACTTCCTCTCATTTTACGCCCGCAAAGAGGAAGTTTGTTTGACCGACATCTGGAATCAGCGAATTCATACCAAGTATTTCCGTCTTCCGAGGCGAACGATGAGCAGCTGAACCACTAGAGTCCAAAGTACCAGTAATTTGCGAACGACTCTCGTGGAGCGCGAAACCACACGAAAGTAATCCCAGGGCTCTCCGACCCTTATTTAGAACTTTCACGTGTGATCGGCACCGTTCAAAGCTATGATCGGCAATGTCTTGCTATCCAGCCTCCATTCGTATTGCCTCATCGATTCAAGATCTCGATCGAACGTCACCGAATTATGCGTTTCAAGCGATCAATGGCGAATCAGTTTTTTCGTATGTTAAATTTCCTTGTGTACAGCGCAAATCGGGTGTAAACTGAAAAGCTAGGCAGCACTGGACAGCTGTTTCGACCTGCTTAGGTCTCATCAGAAGTGCGAATTCACCGACCCCATTGGGGCTCGAACCCGGGAGCACACAGGTAGAACACGAACATACTAAGCACTCGGCCATCGGGTCGCTGTTCAGTCCGTTTTGCATTTTCCTTATACCCAATATAACGCAACCCATTCTTACGAGCTTAATACAGACATCGCACCTTGTGCATTTCAGCACTAACTTCCAGAGTTGATTCGTTTGAGAACATTGCAACCAGATTACACGTCACAGAACAGAAATGGAGGATTTGGTTTGATCCTATGGTAGATTTCATCGTGATTCTCACTGTTGATGGCTGGTGGTGGCGCAGTGGTTGAGTCGCTGTCCCCAGTGTGCTTTAAACCCTATGATCCGAGGTTCGAGCCCCACCACCGCCACACGACTGGTGGTTGGCAGCTCTGCTGTCATCCGGTTCAATGCCGTGCCTAACCCATCGGGGCCTTTATGGTTCGCCACTCCAAGTGCCGGGGCCTAGGTTGCCGGTTTCCACCACTGAACAGCAGGTCTTCTTGACTATGGGGCTCGCCTCGTCTGCTGTTCATCACATTTAGATGTGTAATATAAAAACTGAACCATATCGAAACAGCTGTCCACTGCTTCCTACCTTTTCAATTCCTGCTTCATTTGATCTACCATCATAGGTGAATAATCTATAATCGCTGAAGTTTCGGGGAGATTTCGAGCGTTTCACCGTATAGTTATGCTTGTGTTGGACCAAACAACAAGATACACCCCGTGACAAATTGATTTCACTCCTACCTAGTTTTTCAACATACCCAGAGCGGTGTGCACTGAAGCTTTTGATATTCAAAATCTCACCAAATAGTCCTTCAGTTTGACGAAATTGTGCCGAAAGTCACAAATTTCGGCGTGGCAATTTAATGCCCCCTCTCCTCCCCAAATCTATTGATTTCAACCTTTTAATTATAGGTTGCATCGACCATTCTATTTGAAAACTTGTTCATCTTTTTTGTCATGCATAAACTTACGGGTCTTATGTGGTTCACCCCTCCAAGTCCCTGCGCTGAGGTTGCCTGCATCCGTGACCGAACAACAGGTGGTCGTGGCCATTTAATCTATCCTGTCTTTCGTTCATCAGACTGGTGTAATATCGTATAATGCGCTGAATCATATCTCTGTCAATTTTTTTTGCACTTCAGTCAGAGCCGCCTGATGTTCGTGCTTTGTTCTCTAAGACCTAACATTTTGGACATTCCTCAAAGTTGAACCCGTTGGTTTTAAACGGGATCCTGCTCTCTGCTGCACTCTGGCCACAGCGTCATTTTGATACTACGGAAGAGTAACCTCGATTTGGATTTAATGTGGAGTGAATTGCTATATTTTCTTGTTTTAAACTCAATTCTATGTGGACCACTTAGCGTCTTTACCGATAATGCATATTGCTTCAAACATGATTATCCGATTGCGAATCTTGCACGTTACTTCCCATCGCTAGGTCACTTTAGCGGTTCACCAAAAAGTGGCCCAAAGTCATTTTGGAATTGCTATTCTTTCACTGAACTGTTATTTTTTTCGCACAACGTACCAGGAGTAATTCGCGGATGTATTGAGTTCTGTATTGAAGTGATCTATTACAGAATAATTGTCGTGTTTCCGCGTAAAATTTGCTCTAATCCATCATAAGCGTTGTTCAGTTTGTGATATTGTTAGGACTATACATGTCGTTTTTTATCCAGTGAAGCGTTGTTCGATGTAATCACTGTGACCGAAATATTCAACCCAATGCACAGTTGCACAGCTCACGTAGTTTAGTGTCAGAAGCGATAATCCACTCATGTTTCTCTGAAAGCTTTCATCGTCCACCTCTTTTCAGTTCTTACTTTCGAATACTGTGATACGATGATCTGAGATCTGTTACACGACCTCTGGCTATCTCATGACTGCCACATTTTATCTCACAAAATGCATCGATTCTTTTTTCGCTATATTCTCTCCTCCCCTCGTCTAACGTATCATAATCAATACTGCTTGCTCAATTGATCGTTCAGCGCCTGCTTCAAGTTACTACTGTCATCATGACGTTACATGATCCTAGGTCACAAGCTAATCGGATGAAGACTCACCGAATCAACCAAATTCTTTTTTGAAGTTACGGTAGTAGACCGTCAATGGCTATTAAATCAGAAAGGGTTATAATAGCGCGGTCTAGGGTGGTTGCAATGAATGTTGCAGCAGATCTGCGAGTTGAAGTTTTTCATTCAGTGATTATTAAAATTCTCGAAGACCTTTGAACAATGCATATGGTTGCGAAAATAGTGTAAATTCCAAAAGCTGTCACGACCAGATCTACTGTAAACACTTCTATTTGAGGTTTTCTGTCTTATGAACGGTGAAGTTATAAGATGACTTTGTAGGTTGCTGAAGACCAATAACCAACACCGCAGTATGCCGGCGATGTTTGTGCAAGCTGAGACCGACTGAACTCGTTTCTAATCAATTATTCGGGTTTCAAAGCCGCGATACACGTGCTAGCTTTGACCGACCTTTAAACATTACCAAACCGAAAATCCTTACCGTTCAAACGTTATTTAAAAATCAATGTATGGCTACAGTCTGGTCCCAGCCAACGAACAAGTAGTATAACTGGATTACCATGTATTACCAACGGTGCCGCTCGGCAGTTGTGAGAGCGTTGGGCGTACTGGACACATGAAATGTTCGAGCATCATTGATTTGTGACATAATTCATTGGCCATAGATTATCCGCATGTTTTGATGCCTTAGTTTCGTCTTGCAACCTCAGGTTCTGCTTTGGCTGACTAACTACCCGGAATGTTTCGTCCGCCAAGAACCCTCATCGAGGTGGGCAACAATTTTGTGTTACCAACGAACGTGAAAGAGTGTATACGGTGATGATGATCATATTATTAATGATAATAATAGTGATCTTTCACCTCCATTTATTGAATATACAACCAATGTTTAGGCAAGAAGTTTGGGACCAATTTAACGGTTCAAATTCAAACTGCTGGAAAATGAACTAAAAGCCTATAACGCTCGGTCACGGTCAAGCTAGATTCATGGAATTATTTCCCACCTAGTCCATTATTTTTTCTTGTTTGAAGTTGAAATGCACTTGTTTCATGTCGTGTCATTGCCCCCTCTCCTATGATGTATATCATTTTTTCTTCCTCTTGGGGTTTCAGATCCATTTGAACCCACACGAAATTTGTGCAAATCCATCGGATCATGCGGATTCCAGTTTATTTTTGCTCAACTGATGGCTTGCTACAGTTACTTCGGTGTTCCACGTCTGTCCAACGGGCGTCATCTATTCACACGTGTCCGTGCGCACGATACTTCGTCTCAGTGCTCACTGGCTGAAAGCACGAAGCGGGAGGGCGCTCCGGACCGGACTGGTAATCGAAAGCAGTCTAGAAATCGACAACGACACCGAACCGGTCCGGACCAATCGAATCTACTCCATCTGGTCCCCATCATCGATGATGCGAACGATTTTGAGAGCAATCTGCTAAAGGTATTGTCCTTATTCGATTACTGTACTGTTGAAACTGCTCTGTCTCCTCCATCCTTTGAGTCATGCACTCGAGTTTGCGATCGGTGGTTATTATTATCATTTGTATGAAAGTAATGGAGGATTTGA